AAAATTTTACTAACAAACAGCAGAATGCTCAATAGAATACACATAAACTCAAGATAAAACATGTGGAGCATATAAAGGCAGATTTATTTATTGAACTACTGGCTTTATTTATAATACCAATGTGGTGACTGGTAAGTTAAATCTACCTCATTAAAGTCATCAAGGAAATAAGCGGGTTGATATGCCACAAAAAGGCAGTTAAGCTATCAACAGTGTGAGAAAATAAAGGGCAAATATGAAATTCAGGAAATGTGACGCCGTCTACGATTATATTAAATGAGTTGCTGTTCTGTATTGTGCGATGTGGCACCAAACTCACTGCATTCCACTGAAGTTGCTAAACGTGTTGGACCGATGTCACTAAATATTTTGAATCGGTTTCCAGAAGAGTTAAAATTGACAAGGGCCTTGAGTGACTTTTATTCCTTTAACTCTATATGGGCTGTACTTCTCCAGGTTCACAATATTTAAAGGAAATATCAAGTATTACAACCATACACAGAAATGTCTCTAAATTAATGTCACTTTGCTGCTAAATTACCTTTCTTTATGGTCACTAAATCCTTTTCCATAAACTTTACCATAGATGCATTTTAATTTCTAAGTCCTATTATTTGTGTGTGATCATAAAAAGGACTGAGGAAGGGCGAAATATATTTTATTCCCTATCTCAAAATCAATACATAACGGGAGCATTTTAACAGGTAGACATTATACATCTGAAAGACAAGTGAAAAGGTCTTAAATTCTGAGACAGAGACACTGATAGGAAGGAAACACAAACTATAACTTTAGAATCACGTTGGAGATAAATAAGTTTTCAAAGGCAAAAGCAATTGTAAACAGAGTACAATCTAGATATTTAAAAATTTTCAGGAATAGCTGAGACTCAGACAGAAATGACAAACTAAACATCGAACCCTGAATCTGGCAGACAGGGAATAAAGGGAGTTAATTTTCTACCAAAGAAGGTTTGTTAGGGTTCAATTTAACATCCTAAAATTCTAAACCACTCCTCTTCAGATTGTTGCACTGTGGTGACCTGCGTGTTGCTGTGATGCTGGAAGCTATGCCACAGGTATTTCAAATACCAGCAGGGTCACCCATGGTGGACAGGTTTCAGCGGAGCTTCCAAACCAAGACAGACTAGGAAGAACGCCCTAGTGGTCTACTTCTAAAAAAATTGGCCAGTGAAAACCAGTGAAGAAACAGCTGCAAATATCCATTAGTAATTGGAACATGGAATATACAAAGTATGAATCTAGGAAAACTGGAAGTTATCAAAAATGAAATGGAACACATAAAGATCATTATCCTAAGCATTAGTGAGCTGAAATGGACTGGTATTGGCCATTTTGAATCTAACTATCATAGGTCTACTATGCTGGGAATGACAAAGTGAAGAGGAACAGTATCACATTCATTGTCAAAAAGAACATTTCAAGATCTATCATGAAGCACAATGCTGTCAGCGGTAGGATAATATTCATGTCCCTACAAAAAAGACGAGTTAATATGACTATTACTCAAATTTACCTACCAACCATTAAGCCAAAGATGAAGAAACTGAAGACTTTCACCAACTTCTGCAATCTGAAATTGATCAAACATCAATCAAGATGCACGATAGTTACTGGTGATTGGAACGCCCAAGTTGGAAACAAAGTAAGATCAGTAGTTAGCAAATATGGCCTTGGTGACAGAAATGACTCCAGAGATTGCATAATAGAGTTTTGCAAGGCCAATGACTTATTCATTGCACATATATTTCTTTAAGAGCATAAACAGTGACTATACATGTGGACCTCACTGGATGGAATACACAGGAATCAAATCAACTACATCTGTGGAAAGAGACAATGGAGAAGCTCAATATCATCAGTCAGAACAAGGTCAAGTGCCAACTGCGTAACAGACCATCAATTGCTCATATGCAAGTTCAAGTTGAAGCTGAAGTAAATTAAAACAAGTCCACAAGAGCAAAATTACAACCCTGAGTATATCCCACTTGAATTTAGAGACCATCTCCAGAACAGATTTGATGCACTGAACACTAATGAACGAAGACCACACAAGTTGTGGGACGATATCAAGGACATCATACATGAAGAAA